TTTTAACCATCCTAAAGCCCTCTCCCATGCATTGGATCAAATAAAACACTAAAGCATTTTGCAACAGTAAATAAATAAATAAATAAATAAATAAATAAATAAAAAGTTAAACATATGCCTAGCCTATGATCCAGAAGTTCTACTATTAGGAATCAAAAGATATAAATGCATATTCTTGAAAGAACATTGTCAAAAAACATCAACAAGAATGTTCATAGCAGCTTTACTCAAAATAGCCAAATATTAGAAGCAATCCAAATGCCATCACAGTAGGATGGACAAATGAGATGTGGTATGTTCATACAATTAAATACTGTACAGTGACTTTAAAAGTAATAAATTATTATTACTAGGCATAACAGGAATGAATCTTACAGATATACATTAAGGGGGAAAAGCCATACAGTAGCTATTGTATGATTCCATTGATATGAAATACAAAACAGATAAGACTAAACAATGGTAGAAGTCAGAAAGTGGGAGATCTAGATTATATCTAATTAACTTCCCTGAAAAATGTAGTCCCTCTGCAGGGAAGTCAACTTTTTTTAAATATATATATATTTGATTTTTCACAGAGAGGAAGGGAGAGGGATAGAGAGTTAGAAACATTGATCAGCTGCCTCCTGCACACCTCCCACTGGGGATGTGCCCACAACCAAGGTACATGCCCTTGGCCGGAACTGAACCTGGGACCCTTTAGTCCGCAGACCGATGCTCTATCCACTGAGCCAAACTGGTTAGGGCGGGAAGTCAACTTTTTAAAGTGCATACATGGCCTGGCTGACATAGCTCAGGAGTTGAGTGTCACCTATGAACCAGGAGGTCACGGTTCAATTCCCAATCAAGGCAGATGCCAGATTGTGGGCTTGATCCTGGGCATGCAGTGTGGGTGTGCAGCCGATCATTGATGTTTCTATCTCTCCCTCCCTCTCCCTTCCTTTCTCAATAAGTCAATAAAAAATATTTTTAAAAAATAAAAAATAAATAGAGTGGCCCTAGCCAATTTGACTCAGTGGATAGAACATCAGCCTGCATACTGAAGGGTCCGGGGTTCGATTCTGGTCAAGGCCATGTATCTTGGTTGCAGGCTCCTCCCTGGCCCAGGCCCTGGTCAGGGCTCCTGCTGGAGACAACCAATTGGTGTGTTTCTCCCACATCAATGTTTCTCTCTGTCTTTCCCTCTCTCCCTAAAAATCAATGGAAAAATATCCTTGGGTGAAGATTAACAATAAATAAATAAATAAATAAATAAATAAATAAATAATAAGTAAATAAAGTGCACACATGTAAAAACACTCAGATCTTAACAAATCCTATAAAGCAGTGTTGGTGTGCAACATAGTTCAAAACATTTTTCTCACAAAATTTCAAACATGAGCAGTTGTACCATACTTCTCTCTAAAATTGAGACTTTAAAGGAGTGCTAAGTCAGTGGCCCCTAGTTCCCCTTTCTATGTTCTGTTTCTACCTAGATGACCCTTTGACCTCCCATCCTCTCTCACCCCCACTAAACCTCAAGCACCAACTTTTCTCTGACCTCCACCCCCTGTCAAAACAGAAAAGACTCTAGTATCAGTTATTTACACTTTTTGATTGACTGATTGGTTACACTTTAGCTTCAATGAGCTTTAGTCAGTATGTTAATTCAAGCAACATTTATACTTAAACCATTTTACACCTCATTGTATAATGAAAGATCAATTCTCCATTGAAGAGTTTTGAGCTTCAATCTAGTAAGCAAGTAAGAAAATATTTTGGAAACAAGGAAGAACTTGAAATCACACTTTGTGTTCCTAACCCTGGGGAGTCATGAGCCACAGAGAATAGCTGACAGGCTACAGAAAAAAACACACCAAAGAACTGTTCCCTCATTCACTCACTCATTCACTCATTCATGCATTCAACATTTATCAAGTGCCTACATGTGCTAGTTGTTACAAACAGAAAGAATAAATTATTAATAATATGGTCTCTTTCTTGAAATATTTACAAAGAAGAGTCACAAATAGAATTCAAAAATTAATAGAATTTAAAGTCCCACAAGGAGAGATGCTCTGACAAACAGGAAATGCTAACGGAGGACAGAGGAGCCAGGACTCACTCTCTCTCTTCCTGAGAGAAGGGGCCAGAATGGGTTCCCTAGTCTTTTGGCCAAATGGGAGATGGATGATTACCTTTCTTGTGCAGAGGGAACTTAAGGCAGCAGAGGCTAACGCATGGCCAGTGTCTCCTGCAGCCACAAACATAAACACAACTTGAGCTGTGGCAGCAGCTGGGCCCCTTCTCTTCATCTGCAGTCATATGGGGAGGTCAGTTGATGATAAGCCTTGCCAAGATGTCCTTAGCCACTTGTAGGGGAGGACAGGTGCAAGCACTGTCATACAACTTCATACACAGACTACACTTGTGTCAGGATGCACCAGTGGAATGTACGTTTTATCTGTATCCATTGAAATACTTATCACTAGGTTTTGCTCTATTGGGGTCTTAAAATTTCGAAGACTCGTTAGTGTAAAATTTAGAATAACAAATAGAAAAGATTGGTAGTCAAGTAATGTCTGTGCCTCACTGTAGCAGTTGAAGGCTTCCTTCTGGAAGCTTGCCAGAGGCACAGACTTTGTCCCTGAATTCTAACAAAGCCAGGTGTGTATACACAATACCCAGAGCTGCCCTGCACCTCCTTTGTTCAATTTTTTGGCCTAAGCAACTTTATTAGATTTTTTAACTCTCCCCTTGTTCCAAAATTTGCAGGTGAATAGGTTGTGTCATGAAACATATTTGATCTTATCTTAGTTAGTGACTAATAGTTTTATATCACACCCATATTTTCTGCGGTTCTAAAACACAGCCCTCAAGCCCCTATTATTCTAATCTCTGAGAATGTAAGAATGAATATTCATTCTTTTTCTTTTTCTTTCTTTCTTTTTTTTACCCTCACCAAAGGATATTTTTCCATTGATTTTTAGGGAGAGTGGAAGAGAGAGGGAAAGACAGACAGAAATATCGATGCAAGAGAAACACATCAATTGGTTGCCTCTTGCACGTGCCCTGACCAGGGCCTGGGCCAGGGAGGATCCTACAACTGAGGTGTGTGCCCTTGACCACAATCAAACCTGGGATCCTTCGGTCCACAGGCCAACACACTATCCACTGAGCCAAACCGGCCATGACTGAACATTTATTCTTTTAACAAGCATTTATCCAGCAGTGAAGCAGGTGGTTAGTTGTTTCCCAATACCCATTTTCTCCTTCCATTTTAAATGGCTCATGGCCAGCCATGAGAGACAGCACATCCTAGTATCCTCTGCAGCTGGGTGTGGCCATATGACTAAGTTTACCACAATAAAATGTGAGTAGAAGTGATATATGCCACTTACAAGTCGTTTACTTCATAGGAAATTGCTTGTCCCTTGATCTCAGTCTATCCCTCTTCCTAAAAACTTGAGTGGAAATATGGGAGTAACACAGCTTTAACCAAGCAGACAAGACCTAAGGAATGTTGGAAAAGCAAAAATGGGAGAAACCCAGATTGTGAATGACCTCATGGTGAAGGCAACCCGCCAGTCTGGGTTCTTACATTCCTCTGAAATTCTACATGCAAGAGAATGAAACTTCGGCCATATTTGAGTCACTAAATTTTAAGTTTCTTTGTTACAGCAACTTAGCCAGACCCTAGTTAATGTAAACGTTCATTCGATGTCTATTGAGCATTTACTATGTGACAGGAACTTCACATTTCTGGGGGAAATATAAAATGTGAAGAGACAGAAAAGTCTCTGGACATAGTTTTACAAAAATGTAAAACTACATTTGCAAACTGTGGTAAACGTGTAAAGGAAACAAAGAGGGTTCGAAGGTAAGGCCTCTCTGAGGAAGCATCATGTAGCTAAGCTCAAGGTCATAGGGAAAAATGGGGTATGGGGACTCATCCCAGGTTGCAAGGTCAATGGGACAAAAAAAGAGCTTGGCTTTTGGATGGAACTCAAGGTGAACAATGTGAGCTGTGTGGCATAATGAGGAAAGGCTCTTCCTAAATGTGTGTGTGTGTGTGTGTGTGTGTGTGTGTGTGTGTGTGTGTGTGTTACACACATACATGTACATAATAATAGCATAGACACATTGAGTTAAATATGGGTAAATTATCTTTGCTTTTATAGTTGCTGCTAACTCTATTTTCTTTTCTGAACCAGAAACTTCCTCTAGTCTTGCACATATACCAGTACTGAATCTGGAAAAATTTTGAGACCTTAAGAACTCTGTCTGAGTTATAGCACCCTTAGACTTTCAGATCCCCTTTTTCCTAAGCACACAATCTCCCCAGGGTCATTTCCATCTATTGTGTCCTCCTTTTTCATCATTTCTGATCACAAACACTTGAAAAGCCCCCAAGTTTCTCTTATTCTTACCCTCTTCTCTTTTCATTCCCTTGATCTTCACAGGAAAGCTGGGGGCATGAATTTTATGTTGACATTTCCAGACACTTCGTCTTCTGCAGCAAAAGTCATCATAAAACCCAAGTCACATGTTGATCACTGTCCCAACCATAAGTAAAGACTTACTCTCAAGGTAAGTTGGAGAGAAAGAAATATCACCTCTAATTACTCTATAGGACTTTGATAATAAAATTCTCAATGTCTAAGTTCTAATAAAAATATTAATCAATAATGTGATATGGCACAAATTAGTAATCATTATGTTTCGTAATTATTTGTACACTCCTTCAAAAGGGATGGTATCTTCTCTCTTCAAAATTTTACATCATCCCTGAATAAGTTTTCATTAATTAAGGAGCAAAGTCATGAGACAGGATTCAAATATAAGGCAGCAAGAAAGAAACCAGAGTAAGGAGATGAGAGAAGTTCCAAGAGGGGGAAGGGATGAGGTTAGTGGAGGTCAGGAAGAGGTGAAGCCAGAAGGAATTCCTAGAGCCAGAAGAACAAATCTCTAGGTTCTTTTGAAGTTCACCTGCAGCTGATAGGTACCGAAGCATCACCCACCTCACACAAACTAGATGCTCAGTCAGGATCTGGACTGGATGCCTTCCTATCATTCTGAAAGAAAAAAGAAAAAAATGAGTGAGAGAGAGAGAGAGAGAAGAAAAGGAAAAATTGGGTCAGTCAAACAAGTTAGAGGAAAGAACACATACAACATTATGATGTATTAAGATGAGTACTCAGCTGTTCAGAGAGAAGGGGGTTGGGAGCTGGGTAAGAAGGGTGAAGGAATTAAGCAAAGGAAAAAAAAAAAAGAAAGATTCATGGACATAGACAACACTATGGTGATTGCCAAAGAGAAGATGGAGTGGGACGAGGTAGAAGAGGGTAAAGGGAGGGGATAAATGGTAATGGAAGGAGATTTGACTTGGGGCGGTAAACACATAATACCACATACAGATGATGTATTGTAGAATTGGGTACCTGAAACCTATATAGTTTTATTAACCAATGTCACCCCAATAAATTCCATTTAAAAAGATAAAAACAAACAACTAACCTTAAAAAAAGATATTCCACCTTAACTGAAATTTCACATCAAATAACCCGCAAATAAAACAAACAAACAAGAAAAAATGAGTGCTCAGGAGCCAGACTGCTAGGTTTAAAAGTACGCTTTAGCATTGTCTAGTTGGGTGACCTCTCCCTTCAGTTCCCTCTTCTTTAAAAAGGAGATTATAGCCCAAACCGGTTTGGCTCAGTTGATAGAGCGTTGGCCTGCAGACTCAAGGGTCCCAGGTTCGATTCCGGTCAAGGGCATGTACCTTGGTTGCAGGCACATCCCCAGCAGGGAGTGTGCAGGAGGCACCTAATCAATGTTTCTCTCTCATCGATGTTTCTAACGCTATATCCCTCTCCCTTCCTCTCTGTAAAAAATCAATAAAAAATATAAAAAAATAAAAATAAAAAAAATAAAAAAAAGGAGATTATAATCACCCCTACACTTCATAGCGTTGTGGAGAGGATTCAAAAGAGCCATTCCATGAAACATGCTTAGCCCAGTGCCTAGCACAACATAAACTATCAACAAGCCTCAGCTACTTTTGTACATATAGGCTCAGCTTCAGGAGAATAACTACTCATGATTATAAGATAGGAAAGCTGTAAAATAAAATAAAAAATAAGTTCCCTTCTACAACTCAGTTAGATAAATTTGTGTTTTCTACGTGGGCAAAGAAAAGAGCCATCTTCAACTCTTTTATGTATTTGTTTAGATTTAACAAGGCAAAAGGGTGTGCATGAAAAGAGCCCAGGGCTGGGGAAGGAGAGAAAATGGAATCTGAAGAACCTGTCATCTGGCCCATCTTATACAGATACTTGCTAAATCACATAGCCCAACTTTCATCGCACAATTCCAGGGCACAGCCCACAGGCCCTAAAAATGTCAAAGCACCATCATTTGGTGTAACACACAACACACGTATCAGGATTCTTAATTGTAAACAAAAGAGACTGACTACTGTTGATTTGATTGAGAAAGGAACACTTGAGTAACTCTGAAAATTGCTAGGAAGACTGGAAATCCAGCTTGAAAAATGGAAAGCTTGGCAGCCAGAGCTAAATGTCAATCATAGAGCCAGTCTGGTGAGTAGACAACTGTCCCTGCCCCAAGTCCTGACTCTGCCACCTGCCCTGCCAAACCACTAGAACTGGTTGCTGCTAGACGCCATCTCTAGCACCTTCACCATGGCTGTGCTGGAAATAGATGAGGCTATTGAGAGCAAAAATATGGCCTTTTCTGACTCACAGTGAGAAATTCCCTGAACATAAAAGTTCAGATGTTGGCCAATCTTACAGAAAAAAAAAAAAAAAAGAATGAAAGAGAAATAAAGAAGAAAACTATCTGAGGCAATAATTCATGGTACATCTACTGTTTTAACGAAACATTAAATAAAAATTATGCCATAGAAACACAGATATTCTTTATGATATAACGTAAGTGTATCAATGAGTTTGTTTCTGTTTTGTTTGTTCGTTTCTTTTGTTTTTAGATTTCACACATAAGTGAAATCATATGGCATATGAAAGGAATTAAGAAGTAGAAATTGTCACTTATCAAAATAGTCATGTGGATGTAAAGTACAGCATAGGGAATATAGTCAGCAATACTGTAATAACTATGTGTGTGTCAGATGAGTACTAGGGTATCAGGGTGACCACTTCATAAGGTATATAAGTATAAGTGTATAATCCCTATGTTGTACACCTGAAATTAACATAAAGTCTGGATCTCTCTCACAGAAGGAATATTTTTTATCTAAGATAATGAATGGCAAGTTAAATCCTGTGGTCCATAGAGAACACACCAATGAAGCCAGAATGCCCCCTCAACTTCCATGGTCTCTGAATCAAGCAGCAACTAAGGGAGCTAACCTGCCATCGGAGTGGCTGGGGCAGGGCAATTAAGAAGCTTGGCTTTCTTCTTGGTTTTGTCTCTACCTCATCTGTCAAACCATATACAGAATTTCTGAAATGGAAGAAATAAAGTGGATTGGCCAGTTTCTCTTTACCCATGGGATAAAAGGGGTCTGAGCAGTCAGTTACCCTGTCTGTAAAATTCATGGAGGCAAGCAGGAAGGAAGAAACCCTCTGGCCATATATCTCATTATTCAAACCTACTTGTTCTTAATAACTTTTAGATCTTCAGTATTTAATTGTTATTGTAATTAATTACTGTAATTACAATAATTAATTATTAATGTTCTTAATATATCTAGCCTGAGATTAATTTTTGCCTGCAATTCTTTTTTAAAATGTTTTTCTTATTGATTTTTAGAGAGAGAGGAAGGGGGAGGGAGAGAGAGAAATAGAAACATGGATTAGAGAGAAACATTGATCCACTACCTCCTGCACACCCCACACTGGGGATCGAGCCAGCAACCCAGGTATGTGCCCTGACCAGGAATTCAACCAGTGACTTCTTGGTGCATGGGTTGATGCCCAACCACTGAGCCACACCAGCCGGGCTGGGTACAATTTTAATACCCATTTACATTTATATTAAAGATGTAAGAAAATATTTTCTTACCACTATTGCCACTTGGCACCACGCTGGGATTCAGTTTCTTCACCTGTAAAATAGAAAAACCATATTAGATGACTTCTAACATCCCTTTTTGTCTTCCTTTCTGTCATTTTGTAACTAACGAATATTAGAAATATTGTAATGTTTATAATTATGCAAAGTGCTTGTTCACTTATAAACGTTAGAAAAGTAGAAGGAAGCAAAGTTATGCTCTTCTACATATCACCCTTAATCTGATTTTGTGTCCATTGAGTTCTGAGAATAACTGGCTTCTAAAGACTGGCCCTTTTTAGGCCTCGTGATATATTTCTTCAAAGTCTTGGTGAACCTACTTCCTCTGCTTATTTTTAGTCAATAAGTGCTAAGAAGTGAACTCTGAAGACCAGCTCTTTTGGGTGAACATGAATTGTTGTGGGGGTTTTTCCTCATTAAATGTAGATTGTGACTAGGTTTGCAGTACATAAAATAACTAATGAAAATTGTGGGGCTGAATATCATGCACTCAGATGTTTCCAGCCATATGGATATTAGCTTACATAAAGACAAAATATCTGTATTAAAAACTGGATATTTCCACTCTAGCTGGTTTTGTTCGGTGGATAGAGTGTAGGCCTGCAGGCCTAAGGGTCCCAGGTTCAATTCCAGTCAAGGGCATGTACCTTGGTTGCAGGCTCCTCTCTGGCCCTGGGGCCCTGGTCAGGGCTCCTGCAGGAGGCAACTAATTGATGTGTTTCTCTCACATCAGTGTTTCTCTCTGTCTTTCCCTCTCTTCCACTCTCTCTAAAAGTTAATGAAAAAATATCCTTGGGTGAGAATAAAATAAAATAAAATGTGGCAAATTAAAAAAAATGAATATTTCCATTTTTATCCACATACTGGGTGTGCTACAGACATAACTTGTGAATGAATATAAATGGTTTCTTCCTTCTCTCTGCAAAGAATTAGCTTAATCAATTAGTGTCAGATATGGAAAAAGCCTTTTATTGTTAAAGTAATCCCCTCATTGACTTTATTGTTAAATTTGACCTCTCTTTATTTAGCTTTGTTTTCACTCAAATATTTGTCAATTGCTTATTTCCCCAAGAATGCATAGTCACAGTTTACATGTAAATCTGGTATTAAACAGTCAGTTTCTCCAGCTCTCTAATTCTTTGCCAGCAAGCAATTACCCACCATAGGACCTCTATCAACAATGATAGCTTGGTCACTCCTGTGTGGTTGGCCCTGTGGAGAAGCCCTACCACACAGTGGATAAGAGTTTGGGCTCTGGGTTCAGTGGACAAGTTACTTAACATCTTGTCACCTCTCCATTTCCTTATCTGTAAAATCAAAAATAATAAAAATGCCTTCTTCTTGGAGTAAAGATGAAATGACTTAATGTATGTAAAGTATTTGACGTAGCATTGGAAATTACTTGGCTCAGAGTAGTCCTGAGTAAATACCAGATTTTCAGCATCCTGAAAAACCACATAAATTTTAGAGGATAAAACTTAAAAGTCAACAAGAACAACTACCTTAGTTTGTACTTTAAGAACCTGAAAGTAGGGGAAGGTATAGAAAGGTTCCGTATGGAAAGGATAAGTGTCCTACAGGGATTGTCTTTTTCTGTTACCGGAAGTCCAGGGCCCTGCGTTCAAGAAGCTTAAGATCCTTTTGGAGGAGTCAAGACTATAGGTCCGTGGGCAGTCTGGTTCCTGGTCCCTGCGTGAAAGGTGAGTTCCCAGGAGGGTCTCAGCTGAAAGCGTGGGAAGTAGTACAGAGAACTTTCTGAAGAAGTGAGACTTGGGGCAAGGCAGGGCTGGCCTCTGCGAGGGAACAGGGAGAGGACAGTGAGAAGGATGCTGCCCAGACTGGAGGGGCCCTGGTCTCCCAGAGGCACCCAGCGTTTAGAAACTTCGACGCCTCACACTGCAGCCCACCGCCACGCTCCCGAGCATCTCCGTGGAGCTAGAAGGGGAATGAATGGCACTCAGTTACACCGGTTCTGAAAATATCTGGGAGGATGGAGCCGGCCGAAAGGAGCACCTCCCTCCCGCTTTCAAGTCTGAAGAACTTGAACTGGAGGCCAGGCTTCCGACGTGAATGCTTTCTCTTGGGGCGAGAGGCGTTCGTCCGCAGCGCTGGGCTCGCGGATGGAAGCCGGAGGCCCTCCCAGCCCGGCTTCCCCTTCCCCGGAAACACTGGGGAACCCTGAGGCCTCGTGGCCCCTGGGGAGGAGCCCCGATTAAGGCTCCATTCACTGCCATCCCACCCGACTCGCTGGGACCGCACCCCGCACCCCGGGGAGGCCCTGACGCTGCGCCCGCCCCGCTGCGCGTGGGTCCCGGAGGGACGCGAAAGGGAGCGGCGTGCGCTGCAGAATTCAGAGAGAAGGCGGGGAGCCGAGGGAGGAGAGTGGCCTTCACCTTGGCGTCGCGGCTCCCTCCATCCTGCGGGGGCCACAGGACCCGCGTCCTCCCGGGCGGGCGCACCGGCCGGGCCGCCGAGAGGCCGGCGCTGAATCGCGCGCGACGCCGAGTTTCCGCGGCCGCGCGGCCCCGCGAGCTGAGCGTGAGCCCGGCTCCCCGCGTGCTCCTCGGGGTGACCCGTGCCCCGGACCGTGTGGCCAGGATTCAGGAGGGAGCAAAGCCCCTGCCCTTTCCAACCATCGCTTTCTGCATGGTTCTTACGGTTCTGGGCGATCTCCCTTTCATAAGGAAGCAGGTTACCATTTGTAAACAGCCAGCACAGCTAAGAGCATCCCAGTCTGAAAAGAAACAAAGTCACTCAAAAATTTTCCCTTTATTTTCTGTTGCAAGCAGTTGCGTTTTTGTTATTGCTTTCCTCCTAACCAAGGAACCACGCCAGCCGAAAATGAAAACGCAAAACAACCTGATTTCTAGAGATTAGCTTTTGGGACTGGATATTTTACGAACACATTTCCAATACTACAAAAGTTAATGGACGGTTTAAAAAATTGGAAACATATTTTGGTTGTGGCTGGAAATGTTGAAAAAGAGACGTTGGTCTTTTCATTTATTGCCCATAAATGCAGTCTTTTGGGAATAGTTTGCAGGATGTAATGGGGGTTGGGACGTCTCCCCCCTCCACCCACTCCCCCCCACCCAAAAAAAGGCCACAGTGTTCATTGGCTAAAGTCTGCGGAGCAGAGTTGCTTGATTGATATTTGGCTTGCAGTTCTGCAATCGAAGGTCAGCTACAGTTGATGACTGGTGTTATTAAAAATAAGGATCTAAAACTCCAGGGATTCCAGTTCAGCTTTTCAAATACTGACAGCCACAAATGCCCCTTTGGGCAGCTGTTTCTGTCTTCTGCGATCAGTAGAACCCCACGGAGGAAAGGAAATGTAGAAAGTCGTGTTACAAGGAAACTTTACTTTCCTTGTTTGGGCTGGTGTGTGTGTGTGTGTGTGTGTGTGTGTGTGTGTGTGTGTGTGTGTGTTAGATACATAAGTGGGTTGTAGAGAAAATTAACAAATATGGACCAGAACAATTCTGGAGGCTATGCTATGCCACAAACCAACCAGAAACAAACAGAAGGAGGGGGGGGAAGATGTGGGGCTAAGGCATCTCCTGGACTATTTCTTGCATCTCTAAGCCCTTTCCAGCTGATACCTCTTGACAATTTAATGGAGGTTGAACTTGGGTGCAGGCAACTTCTCTCTCATTTATTCGCCCCCATTTATAGATAAAAACAACAAGTGTATGTGTTGAATCTTACCTGCTCTATTTCTGTCTTCACACTTTAAGAACATATGTCTTTAACAGCAAGTAGCCTAACGTTTGATTGTTCAAACAAGATGGCAGAAACATTCAACTGGGATTCAGTAATCCTGATGGCCTCAAAATAGAGGTCTTGGCTAGTAAACCAGAAGAGGAAAAACAGAAGCCATATCCAGCCTGAAACAAATCACAGAGAATAAATGCGAGAGGGCAAAATCAAACCAGGAATTCAGAAGTAAGAAGTGCATTGGCCTCCGGTTCTAAGCCACCCTGGTTTTACTCTGGGCTCCAATTCAGAGCCATCCACCTCTGGGTGCCTGTCTTTCTGATAAAATAAGAGGTTGGGTAATGGGTCCTTTTCAGTTCTGAGCATCTAGGTGTAAGCAGTCCTATGGAAGAACTATTATGTTCTCTCAGAACTCAGGAGGGGAAAAAAGGCAGGCAAAATATAGGCTTATCTACAGCAGAGGGTCACCAAACTCAGCCATCTAGTGAGTAGCTTATCTGATAGGAACTTGTTAACTTGTGTCCTTGTGTGTATTGAAAAAGCCACAGCATTTCTGAGAGTTAAGAGACATATTTCGAAGTCCCTTCCAATATAAAGAAAGATGTTGTAATGTGCCAATTTCAAAATTTTAAAACAAGGTTTGTTTGTCATTCAAAATAGTAAATTAAAGACTCAGACTCCTAGAGCTTCTACTGCAAAAATGATTATTCTTCAGGAAGAAACACGAACAGCAATGACCAGTTTTGCTTTGTTTTCCCAGTCGTGCTCAGCCATCAGAAAAGCTTAATAAATCCCTATTTAGTATGCATTTATGCAGTGATTACATGAACTTTGACCTCTGGAGAGCTGTAGCAATTAGCTTCAGCATCCAGCATCTTCTCCCGCCATTCCCTGCTGGCTTCCTTGGGTCTTCCTTTTTCATCTCAGTAATTCGTGTGCTAGGAGAGCGTAAAATTTTAAAGTTGACTTTCCACCTGAGGTATTTGCTTCAGCACAGTTCAATTCCCCCTCTTCACCTCCCTCCTGTCTAAACAGCCATTTCAGATGGATATTGGGGCTCTGATTGTCGATATTACTCAAACGCAAATGGATTTCAATTCAATCTTGCCCTGTACTTTCGCAAAGAAGATAAACTCTAATGGCCCAAAGAGCTTCATTTCATAGCTTGTGGCATCTGAAATAAATCGGATCCCTTCTGTCAGGCTAATTTAACGTTTTTTAAATATTCAATGTAATTTATTTTAAGTCAAATGAAACCTAGTGGATTGGCAAAAAGCTAACAGGAGGAGGCAGGAGAAGGGCAGCTGGAAGCTCCACTCCCTCCTCCTCGCCCTCCCCCCCCCCCCAAAAAAAAAGAGCCAGGAAGGGAGATGAAAGTGCTTTAACTTTCTAGTAAACACTGTTTAGCAAAAGAATAATAGGAAAGTTGCCCCTTTCCCAAAGAGGGATGGAACTATAATTGTTGCCTTCAGCGGAGAGCTCAGATAAACCGCTGGGACTCATTCTAAAGTGACCCATCACTGCATTCATCTCTTCTTGAACTTTCAGTGAACCTGAGATTAAACAGGGGTGAGCAGCTAAGCAGTTTGTTGTTAGCAGCCTTTTCAACAACCCTTTCAGACTGAGTAAATATTGATCGGTTTGAATCTGATTGCCCCAGAGGAAAACACCACAGCATCTGAATAGCTTCCAAAAGTAAACTTTCAAAGGTGAAGCTGAGAACAGACTTCAGAGCCATGGCAGGATCTCAACACAGCCTAGTGTGGGGACTCCCAGAATTTTGGGAGTACTTAAGTGTGATGTGAGCGAAGAGAGGAAAAAAACATTTGAAAACTGGAATTTGATATTGCCTTTATCCCAAGTCCCTAACTGAGGCCCTTGTCCTTTTTAAATCTATCAATAAAATGTTATTTTCTGTTTTTCCTCTTTTGTCATTTCAGTTACCATAGCTGTCATTTTTCAAGATGCTAGCTATGCTCCTCAGAGACCAAAACAGAAAAAGAGAGACCTTGAAATAGAATGTGTTAAGCGCCTTTGATTTAATCGATTGGGACAACTACAAAGATACAAATGTTTTTCTTGTTGAAAGGTATATTAATGTTTCCTAAATGTGTTGCTTATTAACTGATTTATTCCATGACCTATAAAAGGCTTGGGATGTTTAGCCATAATTTATCGTTCTCTCTCTCTCTCTCTCTCTCTCTCTCTCTCTCTCTCTCTCTCTCCTACATTAAAACCAGCACCTTAAAGATTGGAATCTCCAGGATTCCAGCCGGTTGGGCCCAGCTTTTAGATATTGAAATCTCGGCAGTGGCATGCAAATGACACTTTAACACATTAAAGTATTTGGAAACCAGCCATCTGTTTTGCTGTGTGGCCTTACACTAATAAACAAAAGATACTGTATAAGGGAGGGGGGATGAAAGAAAGAGTTGGCTCACTTTGAAGTTCTCACCCATCCACTTGAATCTTTTAGAAGCAACCCCAGAACCCAGGAGCCGAGGGAGGGCACAGGGTGCCCTTGATATGGCCGCAGCAACTACGCCTGCAAAGGCCAGGCTTTCCCCCTTTGACCGGGAGGTACAGGAAATCTCATAGGTGCTCTAGGAGGCCTGTGAATTTCACGTTTTTGTAGGATTCCCTCCCCCAGACTCCCAGCCCATCCTTTGTAAAACAGCCTTTGGAGAGGAAGGAAGTCATATGTCTTTATTTGTTTGTGATGCTGCAAATGTTGTGCTCTACCCTGGGGCTTACTTAAAGTCTCTAAAATTGTGTGAAAGTGAAGGAAAATTGGTAAGCAGTGTAGGAGAGCCACTTGGAACTCTTTGATTTGTTGGCTTCCTCTGTTGGAGAAACACATGTCTTGGTTGGAAGCAACTTGAACAGTGAAAGACTTCAGGGCAGCTTCCACAAGTTATCCTGGAAGAACCTGTTGAGCCCAGAGAAGAAAATCACTACTGTTTTCCAGGGTTATGTGACATGGGATGAAGAACTGAAGACCCATTACAGCCAAGATGGCTGTGAAATCAAATCTTAATGTGATGGGAATGAGATGTATAACTTAGAGGGGATGGTAGGAGGTGGAGGGTGGCAGGAAGGGATAGATAGACAGGACGAATGGGAGGAGGGATGTAAAGGTTTACTGAAAACAGACCACACTCAATTTAAAGGGTGGAATATATTGGAGCGCCGACAATCCAAAAAGAAGGAAGAAGGGTGGGCTGGGGTCCCCATCCTCAAATAGCTTTATACTGGAGCTAATTAAATGTGAATCTCTTAGTTCTTGGTTCACTGATGTGAGGAAAGACTGACTGAAGAGTTTCAGCTTTTAAAGGGGGTTCTGTTTATATATACGTCAGCATTCAGTTGGAGGTGAAAAGGTTAGCACTTGACCCAGGAAGTACCCATGTTTGTTTCAAAAATAGAACTGCTTTATAAAATTCTTCACCAGTTTTTCCATTATAAACTTTGATTATAATAAGGGGACTACTGTTATTTTAAAGAAAATCAACCTATTATAGACATTGGTTAGGTGCAATTACCCTCTTAGGGGAATCTTCAATTACATAGTGGAAAGCACTTTTTTTTTTTTTTTCCAAAAGAAAAGTCCCATCTCTTTGAAAATGCACACCGTCCTTCTCTCCTTCCCCACACAAAATGACTCAACTTTGTAAGAACCAACAAACTGTAGCCAAGCCAAATACACGGATCCTTAAGCATACCTGAAACTTGAATATATTTATTACAGACATCTTAAGACCCGTAAACTCTGCTCTGGATCACATCACTCCAGGATCTCAGAGCTGTTCATGATTGTACAGGAAAGGGGGAATATTGTAGGCTCACAAAGGATAACTGATAGAACTCAGTGTGGTACTTCAGGGACACCAAAACATTGTGCGACATGCAAAAGACTATTCACGAATCACACAAAATATACATTCATTGTGCCATCCATCACATTAACAATTGAGCTGAAAATACATCCTATCCAGCTAAGATAACTGAGGAAGGAAGAGGCTGGTTTGACTAATACCTTTAGGTTCTAAATAGAGTGTGGCCAGAGAAACAAGAAAGGGTTTGGGGATGGGGAGAGACTGAAGCACAGGCAGCAAGGTTTCTGAACCTTGTGGTCTGCAGGCCTTCTTAACTCACTGAAAGAACAAATTGAGGCTACCCTCCGAGGCATCTGATTGAGTTTAAATGAGGGCTTTTATTTTTAACCTATCATCACATATAAAATTGTACCAGCTTTGAGAGTTTGCCCACCCTGTTTGAATCACTTAATCTAAACATTTCTAGAAAATCTGTATAAAGATAAATCTCTCAGGACAAAGTATTTACAACCAGCAAACTCACACACAAGAATGAATTAAATTAAAAGGTGAATTCATTGTGTAAACACGCCCATAGTGCATCTCTTCTCAGGAGCTCCTGGCTCTCTCCTTTCTCTTTACCCCACTTTGAGGACAAAGTAGGGGAGTTCTGTAAATATACAGATAGATAAAAGATGGGAGGCCTCCCTTTGGCATGTTTCTGCTGGCAAAGGAGACAATTCTCCAAAGGGCATCTAAAAGGAACAGTAGGATCTGTGGAAATCTTCTAAAAGTAGGGGCCCTCAGAAAATTGGTACGGGCACCCCATCTGCATTAAGAAGTTAACATACACACCCCTCCCTCCCCAATCAAGCATCTAGTCCAGAATTCTCAGTAAACACATTATCCTGCCCAGGAGCGTCCCAGATAGGATCAGAAAGAAAGAGAGGGACTGCAAATGGAAAGGAAGATAAGCTAAGAATGTGCTTTGAGTAAGAAGTCCCAGCCTGAGGAGTCAGAAGCCTGGGCCGCGGAGTGGAGTTTGGGGCTGGGCGGGCCTCAGTGGGAGGTAGTCAGAGTGTCGGAGGTAGAAGACCCCGGGGAAGGAACGCAGGGCGACGAGCCAGACTTCTCTGAGGACTCCTCGGCCTTCTCCTCGCTTCCCGGCGGGGTGGCGGGAGAGATGGGCAGGAGGCCCTCCTTCTCTCGTTTCTTCTGCTTCATTCGGCGGTTCTGGAACCAGATCTTCACCTGGGTCTCGTTGAGTTGCAGGGACGCGGCGATCTCCACCCGGCGGGCGCGCGTCAGGTACTTGTTGAAGTGAAACTCCTTCTCCAGCTCGGTGAGCTGCTTGGTGGTGAAGTTGGTGCGCACTGCGTTGGGTTGACCGGCGTAGCCGTACTCTCCAACTTTCCCTGGGGGGGAAGCGACGAGAGAAAAAGGTAAATATTTAACAATCCATAGGAGAGCCCCTGTAGGTTCAGAGCAATATTCAGGTAAGGGGGAGATCGAGAATTTCTCCACACACCCCGGGCTGGGGAGGGTGAGTGATGAGGTGTAAAGTGTTCATCTGAAGTCAACCATTAGTGTGGTCAGACCGGTGATGAATGGAGCCCAGAGATATTACCAGAACAGCCTCACGCACGCACACCTACCCACTTCCTACTTCCAGAATCTCTCCATCTCAGCCCCTCTGCAAACACCACAGTCCCAGGGGCTCCTTCGCCTCAACACACACCTGGGCAATCCCCCAATGCCCTACAACACCGGTGGGAAGCAAGTATTTTTTAAAAGACAATTTATTAATTGCCCTTGGAAACTAAGCATACTAACTCCTTCCAGAATCATCACGGAGCATCCGCGGAATGGCAAGACTGACCTGTTTTGGGAGGGTTTCTTTTTACTTTCATCCAGTCAAAGGTCTGCGCTGGAGAAGAGGTCTCTGGTGCTGGGGAGCGACAGGCTTCTTGGTGGCTGGCGTGGAGAGGGGACAAGGAGTTATTATACGTGGCCAGGGCCAGGCTCTGGTGCTCTTGTCCATATGAGTGGTGAATGTACTGAGGCGATCCCACCGCGCCCCCGGCATAACCCTGGTGGTGGTGGTGATGTTGGACCATGGGAGATGAGAGATTTCCAGAGTAAACAGCGGGAGCGCACGAGGGGTACCCCCCACTTACTTCTGCTTCCTGATTTAACGTGTACGGGCTGTAAGGCGCGCCGAAGTTCTGCGCGCCATAGCTTGGACCACAACTCGAGTGGGAGTAGGACACCCCCAGGTTCCCAGGAGTCTGGTAGGTGGCCGGCTGGGGGTGGTGATGGTGGTGGTGGTGGTGGGGCGAGCTGATCTGCACCCCCCTGCCCACTAGGAAGCGGTCGTCGCCGCCACAGCTGTTGGCACTGACCGCGCACGACTGGAAAGTTGTAATTCCATGGTCTGCGGGATAGGCTCGCGCGGAGCAGGTCCCCGAGTCGCCCCCGCTGAGGATGGGGTATTCCAGGAAGGAGCTCATTCTTGCATTGTCCATCTGTCACTGAGTGACCGGGTCCTGCGAAGCCCTAGGTGACCGTGCCAACTTTCTCACTTCCTCCATGGGGCCGGAGAAGAAAAATGATATGAATGTACAGTGCGCAGGAGGGGGGGGGGGGGGGAGGGCGGAGGGCGCTGCGAGGGGCACGTGACGGCGGCAGCCAATGGCGGAGCCTCCTGCGAAAGTTTGCTGGCTCCCGCGGTGATGGATCACCGTTTCTGTGGCATTTAAATCCCCGGCGCTCCTCTGTCCGGGTGACGCGCAGTCGCCCCCCCAGGCAGCCCGGGCGGCGGCCGCAGCTGCGGTGGCTGCGAGGGCAGATCCCGAGCGCTGGGGCGAAGGGGAGCACAGGCTGCCTTCTGCGCGCCGGCTCGCTCGCCCCCCCTCCGGGAGGTGGGGGCTGGGAAGCACCCCCTCCCTCCCCGTGTCCGCCCCCCTCCCCGCCGCGCACAGAAAAAGGAACTGACGAGAGGTGAGAAGGGAAGAGGGCTCCGCGCCCTCCCGGGTGGGGACTCAGGGGGCGGGAGCTCGGGTCGCGCCGAGCCGGAAGGGCAGGATCCCAGCCAGGCTCCCCGGGAGCGCGCACAGCTCTGTCCCTGCCGCGGTGCCTCGGGGCGGTGAGGGGCGCAGAGCCCGTGGCGAGGACTGGGCTGGGCCGCCAGCTCTCCAGGCCCCAGTGAAGAGGAGCGTTCCCAGGGGGCTGGCTTGGAGGAACCGGTGGGGGTGGAGGAGACATGGGCCAGAAAAGAAACTTCCCTTTTCCGTAAGGGTCTGGGAAGCACCCTCCCTCCCCCCACCTCCCCCACACTGAGCCTCGGAGCCCCGGAGCTTCTGTAATTTGATGCCCCGCAGCCGGGGGAGCCCGCGGAGCCGAGGCGGCCGAAAAAGGCCGGGGCTGGCGGGGCTCACCGCCCGCCCTCTCTCCTCGCTCTCCGCCCCTTTCTCCTCCCCACTCAGCTCTGCTCTGGGAGCCAGCCCTACGCGATCCCGAGCAGCGCGGCCGCTGGATTTTGAGGGGAAGGAGGCGGGGGAGAGAGATGACGCGAGCAGACGTGGCCTGCGTGGGGGCCGGGCCGTGCGCTGCAGGCCATCTGCCGGCCCCGCTGGACCCAGGAGCCTGCGCTTTGGGTGGGGGCCTCAAAGGCGGGACCACAGGTCCCACAAAGTACGCTGACCACCCCCTCCTCCGTTTCTCGCTTTCTTAGGGAGGGACGTTAGGAGTTGGTAGAGCTTCCTTTATTCAGCCCCCTCCCGCCCCCCCCATTCTACAGCACGTCTGTAGTGGGGATGTGGGCTGGCAGGTGGGAGGGGCGGCGGACAGATGGCTGATGGTAAATGGGACATTTTCTTCTCCCAACACCACCTCCTCCGCTTTGTAACTGACGTAGTTAGTTCCTTGTGTGAACCTCCGAGTCTTTCCCTAGAGAGACGAGTGCAGATCTGAGCGTCATCCCAGGCCAGGGGTCCTGTTCTCCATCACCCCCATCCTACGCTGATGCTGACGGGTCGTTAATTGCTGTTTACTATTAGGTTTCGCGCCGACCCTTGGCTTGCAGAGAGAAAGGGCCAAGCAGAGGCCGCGAACTGATGCATTCTTAGGCGAAAGAAATGCAGAGGGCATCCGGGACGCTTTGCAGCGACTGATGGATAGGTTTTACTCTGATCTTGTTTACCTCATCAGAGCCAGACAGATAAAAATTACCTGAGGCGTGGATGTGGGGGTCCCACGCCCCTCTAGCTTCCCCTCCCCGGCTAGAAGAAGGAAGTTTTGCTTAAGGCAGGCACAGTTCAAAGGTGTTAGTGAACCTTTCAGGTTTCTGCGTTCTGTTCTCCACATACAGAGGTTTCCCCAAAACCTGTCCCCCCAGAAGGGAACACTTGCGGACATTTGATTATGGACTCCCTTCAGTAGCAAAGAAACATTTCCCCTAAACATTTCCTTTGGGAAAGGTATTTTCATGTGGCCTTTGACCCATCCCCAATCGCAGTTAAGAGGGCGCTCCGGCAGGCGAAGTCACTCCTGCCCCATTTCAGCGCCAGGGGAAAGTCATCCTGGAGGAGGGACTAGGCTAGGCGGCCCTCCTGGAGGAGGCTTCCTTGGTAGCGCCAAGGCCTGCAGCGCTGGGGAAGGAAGGGTCTCCGGTGGGGGAGGAGGCGGGACTGAGGGGGGTTGTGCTGGCTTTGCGCGGGCGATCTGCTCTCCCAGCCGAAGCTCCAAGCTCGTGGGTACCTTCTGCCCCTTGGCCTCCTCTCTGCGCCTTTCCTGGCCTTCAAGGCCCCGGGTTGACGCGACCCCCTGGGCCGCAGGGCTTGTGCCACAAAGCCATCCCGGGACACCACCGGCCTCCTCCTTCTGCGAGCTCTCTGCTCCACGCCCCTCTCTCCCTCCCTGCGCGGCACTTCTCAGGGCCAGCAGGGGTGGGTGCATGTCTTGGCACCGCAGGCAGGCACTGGCACACGGGCAGGCACGCGAGCGGGCGGCCCACCCGCCTCCGCGCACAGCCCCACGCAGGCCCGGCTCCCGCAGCCCAGCCGGCTCCGCCCCGGCTGCCGCCCTGCGCGCTCCTCTCCCGGGAGCCGCTCACAAAGACGGCCTCCCTGGCCCCGAGCCCGCAGGCTTCCGTAGCTCCGGCCCTTCCCCACCCCCACAAAGTCCTGGGGCGCCTTCCGCCGCCGGCAAGACCCTCAGTCCTCCCGGCAAGTAGCCGGCGCCCCCGGACTCGGACTCGAGCGCAGGTCCCTGTGAACGCCCGGGGAGAGAGGGTGCCAGGCGAGTTTGGTCGCTATTTAAAGGACCGCCGGCCAGCGGCTCCAAGCACCTCTTTCGGGCTCTTCCACTCGGAAGGGAAGGAGCGAGGAGCAGGCCAAACGCCGCCCGCCGAGGCCGCGAGCTGCTCACGGCACCCGCGGCTCAGCCAAGCCGTTGTTTTAAACGAGCAATAAAAATGAATTATGACTAAACGCCTTCTAACTTAATGCTTTCGGACGGGGATCCCCGGCAAATACGTAAGAGGATTTTTATTTGTGCATGTGTTCCTGCAATTGATCTCTTTGATGACATTCTCATTCATAGAAAGCGTTTGATTTATGAGCGTAGGACGAATCGCAACCAGCACAGAGGCTCAGCCCTGGCCGCTGCCGGGCAGCCCCGCGCCGCGCCGCGCGGACGGCAGGAAACCCGCCGGGGTCCTCGCCAGCCTCCGCCGCCACCGGGATTTAGGAGGCCACAGGGTGGGGGAAGGTAGGGGGCAAACCCCTGGAGAAAGATCCCGATTTCATCATAACTTACAAGCCTGCGCTCTTAGGAGCCGGGCTCTTAAAGCAACCCGCCCCCACACATGTTGCTCTGCGTTTTCTCACGGTGAGGAGCCGCCTGCACCGAGCTCGGGAAGAGAAGCACAGACGTGGGGAGACATGAGCCGGGGGGCAACAGAACCACCCGGGAACATACCCCCGTTCACATTTTATTGATATTCATTGAAAGTGCTTGTACGCTTTCTCTCTCTAGGCTACTTAATTGATAACCTAGGGTGCAGAAACACTTGGTTTTCCATCTCAACTGGCTAACCTGACTTCAAAGCTTTAATGCCCCATTATTTGCCATATAAACAGATTTAAGAATGAAATATTGATTTTTCTGGCCCTGAAAAAATAATAAAAAGAATCCTCGAATGACTGAACCGGAGGGCTGGAAAGAAGCCTTTCTGAGGTGTATTTTCCAGCCAGTGACCATCATTTTTTTTATGTTGTTGTTTTTTTCTCCCCCCTCTGTCTTTTAGGACTGTTTGCTGGACCCATCCACAGCTGGGAGACTAATCAGCCATACTGAAAATGTTCGACATGGGTGGGGGAGGGGGGAATGTAGCTGTTTGAAACAAACGTGTATAAATAAATGAATTGTTGACCTGGAGATTGGTAGCTTGTTCAAGAAAGTCCATGTCCCTGGAGTTGGGGGTTTCTGTAGGCACTTTATTGCTCCACTTTCTAAAGCTTGGGCTGGGCCCAGTTCTGAGGCTTCCTCATCCTGTTTCTCTGACCAAGTTACATCTATGGCTTGAACCTCTACAATGAAAAAACAAATCCATTCCCCTGAAAGAAAGGAAGAAAGAAAGAAAGAAAGAAAGAAAGAAAGAAAGAAAGAAAGAAAGAAAGACTTCTCAGATGCCCTAACCATTTTCTGGATTTCTTTTCTGATGCCGTCTATTGAAAATTTTGAACATGCCCCCTTAATAAATATATTAAAATTGAAAAAGAAGATGAATTGTGACCAGAATTTTATTTACCAAGTTAGACTAAAAGGAGAAAAAGAAACCATTAGGAGCTTTGAGAAAGGAGGGGGAGAAAAAAAAATAAGAAAGCTGCTTATAGCAAAGGAGAATTTATTCTACCAAAAATACGCATGACAATGCATCCTAATGTAATACAAAAATAAAAAGAAAGTGAAGATACAGTTGTATGGTCACTTTCTTGCAGGCCTCATATATTGCTTTCAGTAAATCACAGAGGGGGGTGTTGGATTAGATTTAAAACAACTAAAACTCCACAGTAACCTGTAAAAGATGCCTCTGAGACTGGGTCGGGGGACTCGCTAAACAGAAAATCTCCAACATTTAGAGGAGGAAGAGGGTAAAAAATAAAATAAAAATCAACTCTCAGAATAAAAGAAGGCCAAACCACCTGGTCAAAGGGGTTTTTGTTTTGTGATGCTTTGTTTTGCTTTAATGTTTTTAGTAATTCAGATGCTGCAAGTCAATTGTGGTGAGTGTGTCTGTGAAAAAGTCAAAGCTGTCAGCTGAAATATCTACAGGGCTGTCGAGGGAACCCGGCAAGCTGGGCGAGACTGCATCTGAAAGCTGCAGGCAGGAATCTGTGGAGAAAACGCTGAAGTCCTGCAAAGAGGGGACCTCGAGGGCCTCGGGACTGTCATTGTTTAGGCCCGAGCCACAGTTCTGGCCCATTGTTGACAAGCAGTTGGGAACAGTGGGTGACTGGTGCTGAAAATGTTTCAGATTTTTCTCATTGCTGGTTAAAGGCGAAACGGGGAAACTCGGGGAGTCGCCATTGTGTCCGTTGGGAGCCTGCTGCTGGGAGAGGGCGTTCTGCTGGAAAGTGTAGCCTTCCCTCTCCAGAAGGGCCCCCGAGACGCCGAGGGCTTGCTCGAAGAGCGACTTCTCCTCCTCGTCCTCCTCCACCTTCTCCGAGTCCTCCAGGCTTTTGAATTTCCCCTCGCTGTGCTGGTTCTCCTTGCACTGGGTCTGCCTCTTGTGCTTCATCCTGCGGTTCTGAAACCACACTTTCACTTGTCTCTCAGTCAGATCCAGCAGCGCCGCGATTTCCACCCTCCGGGGTCTGCAGAGGTACTTGTTGAAATGAAATTCTTTCTCCAGTTCCAAAAGCTGCGTGTTGGTGTACGCCGTCCTCAGGCGCCGGGAGCCCCCTCCGCTGCCATCGGCCACTTCCAGGGACTCTGCGGAAAGGGAAACCAACGAGAGACACGCGCACAGTTGGAGGCGGAGGGGTCCGAGTGGGGTTAGTCCACTGGAGAATAAATATAGCAGAAAAGATCAACGGCAACAAAATGGCCGCCCCTGGATGCAGCAGAGCTATTGTGCTGCCTTTCCTGGGAGCCCAGCCCGGGGACACCCCATCTCTCCCACCTCCGCCCGATTCCTGCCTGCAGCTCCCCCCAACCTCTCCATCCGGGAGCAAACTTTATATTAGCCACACCACAATTTATAATTAATGCATCAGCTGCTTAGCTGAGCGAGAGCGATCTATCACTCTTCATTACTGTCAAAAAGCCAAACTCTAGGACAACTAGACAAGAGGAGGTCAGTTCCAACTCAAATAAATCATCCCACATTTACACAAGTTAGGGAAAGTTCCTCCCCCCTTCTTAAAAATATATATGTCTCCTTGCGGAGCGCAGGATGCCTCTTCTCTCCATCAAACCCACTCCTGAGCCCACAGAGGAAGGGAAGGCAGCCAAGCATCTCCTCCTTCTCTCCCAGCCCACGTTCCCCTCCCCCCAGAACCGCTCCCCGGGCAGCCCCGGCGGGGAGCGGGGTCCCGGGACTGGGGGCCAGGTCTGTGCACTGACCTTTGTGGCCGAGGCAGGCAGGGCCGGCGGCGGCGGCGGCGGCGGTGGCGGATGCGGGCGGCAGCGCGGTTTTCTTGGCCGCCTTCTTCTCCTTCATCCAGGGGTACTCGGGCGGCTGCAGGGCGCCGGCGGGCCCTGGGCTGCCGCGGCTGCCCGCGGGGCTCGGCTTGGGGCGGCCGCCGGCGCCGTGGCGAGGGTGACTGCCCGGGTTCAGGCTGGGAATGGTCTGCTCAAAAGGAGGAGGAATCAGTGTCGAGTGTGAAAGCGTCGAGGTCTTGATTGATGAACTTTGAAATGTATCAGCGACAGGGGGAAAAGATGTCAGGCACTCAGCGAGCGACGGCTGGCTATTGATAAAACCAATCTCTCGCTCAAATTCGTAATTCATGGCCTTCTGCTTGGAGCCCCCTCGGAGAAAAAGTTCCCTCTTCTGGAGGGGCTTTGGGGGGGCGAGGCCCGGGAAAAAGGCGAGTGCGGAGGGGAAAAAAAATCTATCATAGAAGATCGCTGCTGGGGTGTTTTTTTTCTAATTCACTGATTACAGCCGTATGGGGACCGCGCTACTATTAAACTATTGAATTCATGGAGACAAGGTTGAAATTGGACCGAATTGGCTGTCACATGATTGCTTCTGCCCAATGACAATTTGGGCTTTAATCAAAAGAAGCCACTGTCTGTTTGATTGATCCAAAAAAGTCGGGAAGGAACGCCTCATTGGGGGCCAGCGAGGCTTTATTTACACTTTTTTCTGGGCAAAAATACATTTATGTGGGTGTGGGTGGGGATGCCCGGGAGTGCGTGGGGGCGAGGGTGCCTGCCTGCCTTCCCAGGCGCAGCGACCTGGTGTGTGCGCCTGGCGCTGCGTGTGAGTGTGCGAGTGTGGAGTGTGAGCCGGCTGCTGGCCCGCCGGCGGCCGCCCTCCGCCTCCCCCGCACACTCCGCGCATTGTTTGGGACTGTCGGGAAGACGCCTCGCACCTCACAAATCATTTAAGCGCCTCAGTTTGACGCCTGCAGTCATTAACAAAGTAATCCATTAATCTTCAAAGTTTTGACACCCGAGGGCCCCCATCCCAGCCACATAAGTTCTGCTAAGGCAGGAGGAAGGAGCAGAGGGAGAGGAGATGGGAGAGAGAGAGAGAGAGAGAGAGAGAGAGAGAGAGAGAGAGAGAGAGAGAGATCCATTTTGGGGTTCCCCCTCTTTTATTTCCCTTTTACTCCTCCGCCTTTTCCCAAACCGTTTCCTGGATCTCAGAACTGATCTCCTCTCTGCCCTAGTCTTCCTTCCTCTTTCCTTCTTTTCCTCTCCCCCCCCCCCTCCTCTCCTCTCCCCCTCCCTGTCTCTCCTCTGTCCACTTCTCCTCTCCCCCCACCCTCGCAGGCCCTCGCCCCCCTCCAAAAGCCCAGCTCGGAGTCCCGCGCCCCCAGACCCGACCCGGCCCATTGTTAGCTGGCTTTTCCGCGGCAGCTTTGCGTCTGGCTCCAGGGGAAGCGGAAAACGCGAGCCTGCTCTCCGAGCTTCCTGCGCCATCAACTTTTCAGGAGTGGCTCGAGAGATAGATGCATGTGCCAAGCGAGACAACAACCCCAGGTCCATGTGTTCAAATCCCTGTAGCCAGGGCGGCGGCCAGCCAAGGAAATGCTGCCCCGAGCAGCGCAGAGCAGCGCAGAGCAGCGCAGTGGTGTGCGGCTCCTGGCATTCTGGGTTTCATACCCATAGGGCTCGGGCGCGGTGAGTATTTCCAGGAAGTCTGTGGGAAGTTAGCAGCAGCGAGGGAGAAGGTGATTGTTCCTTTTCTTTCTTTCTTTCTTTCTTTCTTTCTTTCTTTCTTTCTTTCTTTCTTTCTTTCTTTCTTTCTTTCTTTCTTTCCTTTCTTCTCCTTCCCTTCGTCTCCTTGGCGCTCTGATTGGGAGCTTGTTGGTTCAGAAGCAGTGAGTGCTCTAGCAGCCCGAATTGTCTCCCACTCCTTGGCCACCAGGGATGTTTGCACTCGGGCTCTGTTGTGGGAAACAGCACCGCAGGTGAGACAGGGCGACCCAAGGAAGAATTATACAGGTTCTCTTTCTCTGTTCATTCTCTCTCCCCCCCCACCCCCCAATTCGGAGATGTGAGACTGAGCGTATCTTGGACTGTGCTGGAGGGTTCAAAAGACAACACCCTTAGGTACCAAACAATAACTTTTTAGAAATCCACCAAGCCAGAAAGAAGGGAGGAGGCTGAGAGAAACTGGAGGGTATCTCTTTTCCCCCAAACCCTGAGGAGGAGGATTCGCCTTCGCTTCCTTTGAAATGGACCCAGTGATCAGGCTCCCCCAGGCCAGCAGGCACCAGTGGCAGGAAAATAAATCATTCTGATGGCTGGGGAGAGAGAGGTTGGCGGGAGAGAAAACTCGATGTAGGAAACAAGCAGGGCCGAGCGAGGCGCAGGGAGAGGATTCCATCTCTGAGGCCGCATCAAAGGGGGTTTGGGTTGGAAATTGATATAAAGTGCCCTCCATCGTTGACTAGCCCAGAGCATTGCCTTACAGATAGAGTTGCTATGTTGGAAAATGTGAGGTTTTTCAGTTTTCTTGCTTTTATTCCAAACAAAGCTCTGAAGGAAGTCTGGGTGCGATCAATCTTGCTCACCAAAAGCCTTGACAGCTTCTGGCCCTTAAGAACACATTTCAGCTTCGAGCTCTTTCCAAGATCAAATGTGGCCCAGCAAAGAGGAGAGCAGGAAACGCAAGTAAACAAGGAAAACTAGTCTTTTAAAAGATATTTTTTGGCAGCGGAAGGAGTTATAAGGCTGCTTTTAGGAAAGTGCTTTTCGGACTCTGGGGTGGCAGCTTTTGGCATTTGCTTTTACCAGAAAATATTGAGGACTTAAGGGGAGGGGGAGCTCCAAGAGGGAGCGTAGCTGCTCCCACATCACCGAGGCTTTGTCAGGGGCTGCGTGGGTGAGAGGTTTCTGCTGCCTCAGCGGCCTTAATTCAAATACCATCTGGAAGAAAACCCTTTTCTCTGGCCATTCAACACAAGAATCTTCTCCAAATCTATTACTTTAACTCAGGAGATATTTTAATAAGGATTTCTTTTTAATATCTAGGAAGCTAAGGGTGAGATCGATATTTTTTCTTTGAAAGCCACAATGAATGTCTCTGGCAAGATGTGGAAAATCATATTGGAGACTCATTTAAAAATCTCTGCCCTGGAGGGAGGAGGAAGCCTCCAAACCAGTCCTCCCTCAGCTAAAGAGTAGATTTTAGAAATGGGTTCCAATGGTGGTATCTCAGAACACTATTCCTCTCTGAGGATCTCTCTCTCTCTCTCTCTCACTCTTGCTCTCTCTCTTCCTCTCCTTCTCCCTCCCCATCTCCTCTCCACACTGTTCCTTATTTTCCCAGGTAATTTTAATTGTATGCACTTCTCTTAAATTATTATTTAAAAGAGGACTCTTGCAGCTGTTCATCCCGCTTAGCTTAGATATGAACAACCAGAAGGGCGGCAGCTCCAGTCCTCACAAAGACTGCTTTTCCAGCCTCCATGTTTCTGAGATTTGCCATATTTCAGCAGGGAGGTCGGTGTGAGGTGGGTGCTAATCCACTTCTTCCATAAACTCTTTAGAAAGCACCTCAGGACAGATGTGGGGAAAGCACCTCTGGCTGTGAGAGAAACAACCAGATCTTTACAGCTGCCCAGGTTTGCATCTTCCGAACCCTTTTCTTTTTCTTAAAAAACCGTGAGGCGGTTTCCTAAAAGCAGCTCCTGCAGGCCCAGCCATGGCTCCAGTGCCTGATTCTACGGACCATCTGAGTGAGCTTCTGAGGGGGAGATAGAGGCCAGAAGATGGATATTTTGGATGCAAACAAAATGGCGACACCTCCCACCTCTGCCTCAGAAACATAGAATCCAACGAGAAGGGGGATTTATTTCTCACAGCAGATGCTCCTGATCCCCAGACGCAGGTGGTTCCTGGCTTCCAGCTTGGAGGTGGGATGCTGATGGGGATGCAGTTCTGAGGTTTGCACTTTCTGAATTTGGTTCCTTCTCTGAGCAATTCTTTAATCTGAAGATGAAAACGCTTCCCTTTCCTGCGCTTGTCTCTGCCTTTCCAGCCAGCCAGTAGGCAGCCCAGGAATAGAAATGTAATGCTTAGCTCCTGTAGCATCAAATGAAAGAAGTTCTTTTAAAAATGCATTTTTATTAGAAAGATATTAATCTCCTTTCTCTCTCCCCCCTCCCCCTGAGGCCAGAAAAAAAAAAGCGAGGAGGGAAGAAGGAGAGGAAATAAATCCAGGGAATGCCAAATCCTTAATTCCGAGAGGAAGCCGATGCTGGGGCTGCAGGAGTCCAGGGAAGGGCCCAGCCCTTCTGGTGATGGAGACTGGGTGAGCCTCTCAGTCTCTTCCGAGCCGCCTCGCTCCCCATGGCCATTTTAGAAGCGCTTCTTTTCTCCCTCCGCCGGATAAAGGACCGCGAAGCATCCGCGGAGAGTCCGGTTGCTCCCCGAAAGTGCTCGACACCCTCTGCGGCTGGCGATTTCCCAGGTTAAGGCGTTGGCTGGTCCGCTCTGGCCGGAGGATGGTCGGGGACAGGAAGGCAGCCCGCCTGGTCCCTGGCGGGGCTGCCCGACACCTGTGCGCCCCCCGCCGCGCCGGGTCGGCTGCCTTTGTTTCTCCCGCACTCGCCTCTCCGCAGCCCCCGCGCCCGCCCCGGGCTCCGCGGCAGCTGGGAACCAGGCAGCGCAGCGGGCTGGCCCTCGGCGTCGCCGGCGTCTCCGCGGCTGCAGCCGCCCTAGCGTTCGCCGGGCTCCCGGGCCAGGCCCCGCCAGGCCCCCGCCGAGCTGCAGGGAGGCCTCGGCCTGCCTGGCCGTCGCCTCCGCCTCGGTTCCACGAGGAACCCCATCTTCGGCCAAAGAACCCCTTCCGAACGCGGATATTATTCAGAATAAAAACTTTTATTTATTTTTTTGTTTTGTTTCTCAGAGTGTGAGCAGCAAGGAATGTAGAACTCTCCAAACAAATCTAGCATTTTTCGCGTTTACAGATTGTTCTCTTCAGTTTCGCCGGATGTTACAAACTTAAATCACTGTTTTCGAAAGCTGGATCCTCTCTGGTATTATTGCATCATTACCTTTTTTTTTTAATAAAGAAATTACATTTCCCTTTCAAATAAAAAATTTCCTATGTACGCCAATACACCATTGAACAAAAGGCCCAAGAAACCTTCTGAACAACCAGGGTACAGAATTTCTTTAATATAAATACGAACGGATGGGGATAAATAATATTTAAAACTTAGATTATTCAATGCTTGCAAAAAAAATATAAATAAATCTGACTGTTCACCAGCATACACACACGGAAAGACGTACACTTAGTCATCCTCACACAGGGAGCCCCTGTTTCAAAGCGCCTTTGATTTTTTTCTCGCTCTTTACAAGAAGTGCAATAAAAAAACTAAAATTAAAAAAAAAGTAATTGCTTCCCCTCGGGAGCCACAATGTACGAACAAATTCACATTGAAGAACTCGGCTAGAAAATTTGTTCATATACCCTGTTTCTGATCAAAGAGTAGAGAAGGTAAAGGGTGCGGGCCAGCGGCCGAACTGGGTCGGGAGGAGATAAATATCGCTACTGATACTGACAGCCATTCCAGCAACCAAGATTGCTACGTCACATAAACTATAAAAACGCGTTACCAAAGAAAACAAAACGGGGGGAGGGGATGGAAAGGGGTGGAAGAGAGAGAAAAGGGAGGTGCAGGGAGAGAACCTTAAGACAAAACAAAAAAAGCAAACGAAGAAGAAAGGTGTGGGGGGGCGGGGGACTCTCCTGGCGCGCAGCCCCGAGTCCACCATCACAGGTGGGTGAGCTTGGGGGCTTCCTGAATTCTTCCCTGAGAAGGATGGTGGGCGGTAAGGTCCGTGTAGGTGGGGTGCGGCTCCCCTGGCCCAGGCCCATGATGGTGGCCGCTGCCCAGCGGCCCAGCACCCCCGTAGTCCATGGCAGCCGAAGCAGCGTGGGGGAGGTGAGTTAGGCCAAAGAGGGCCGGCCCAGAGTTGCTCATGGGCTCCACATAGCTGCCCCCCACGAAGACGGGGCTTCCCTGTAAGTGTGGGGTCCCATAGCTGCTGTTGCCCTGGAGGCCATGCCCGTGCGGGTCATAGTCGGGTGTGCCCCCTGCGCCTGCCCCTGCAGCTGGGTAGCGCTTCTGTGGGGGCGGCGGGGGCGCGCAGCTGGGCAGAGGTGCGGGGTAGGAGGCAGGGGGCAGCCCATAGGTGCCTTGGGGGGGCTTGGAGAAAGGCGGGGGCGACTGGGGCTCGTAGGGGACACTGTTGACCAGCGAATGCATAGAGTTCAGATAGCCGCCAGCGCCTGGAGGCACTGGGCTGCGACTTGGGGACTGGCCCCCTGATGACGTCAGCATGCCCTTGCCCTTCTGATCCTTCTTGTACTTCATGCGGCGATTCTGGAACCAGATCTTGATCTGGCGCTCGGTGAGATTCAGCAGGTTGGCCATCTCCACGCGGCGTGGCCGGCACAGGTAGCGGTTGAAGTGGAACTCCTTCTCCAGCTCCACCAGCTGCGCGCTGGTGTAGGCCGTGCGTGCCCGCTTGGAAGACGCCTGCCCAGGCGGACTCTTGTCGCCTGCGCAGCTCTCCCCTGCCGGGACAGAAGAGAGGAAGAGTGGTGTCAGGGGCTGTTCCCCAACCAGACCCCTCCTTGCTACGAACCCCAAAGTGCCCTCTATTTGTCAGGGCCCAGAAAGGGTGAGGAGGAAGTGCATGCTTCCTCCATCCTAGTGGGAAACAGTGCTGGTAGGTAGCCCCTCATTCAGTCAAATTGCAAATCATAGGCGTCTCCAAGGGGGTCAAGGACAGAAAAGCAGAGCCCCCAGTTTGCCTTCCTGGTCTGTACTTCCTTCCTGAGCTATTCACTTTCTGTCTCCTTTCTGGGCCTGTAGGCCTATGACTAGAAGCTCCCTGTGGGCAGGTCTCACCACCTTCATTCCCTTCACACTCGCTGGAATGTGGGCCACCTAATATACACTCAATAAATCCTTCCTCCAGTCACTGTCTGCGTGGACAGCTGCCTCAACTGGACACATAACTTCCCCAGTGGAGATGGTGGAGCAGGAGCCCCAATCCGGAAGACTTCTCTGCTCAAAGGAAGAGAACCCATCAACAGTATCCATTTCTGGTGGAGAGGCCCAGGCCCCTGATGCTGGGTCCTACTAATTAGGTTTCTCATGTCATCAAGCAGCCTGCCCCAGCTTTGCCTACTAATATTGTGTCCTCCCTGGCCCCCATATCCGAGTGCAGGAAGGTCCCAGATTCTCAGACTAGAGCACTGGCAACTGGAGAAGGCAGGGGCAAAGGTAACTGGGATACTGGGAAGCCCTAAGGCCTAGGGCCTATCATCCCCTGGAGTCGGGTTCCAGGATGCCCATGTGGTTCCCATTAGGATGACAAGTCTGAATCCCCTCCCAGAGGAGATCCTGGCTGCCTTCATTGTGCTAAGTCTGAGGGGGGCCTTCCCAGAGGCAAGGCAGCCACTCCATCTGCTGGAGCAAAAATTAAAAATAGGCTGATTATAAGCAAAGCATTGATTCTGAATTGGAGGGTGATTAGACCTGCTTTTACTCTGACACATTGCAGTGTGGGGTGGGTGTCACTATTGCACTAAAAATAAGGAATTGTACGAAAAAGAAAGTGGACCTCATGTTTGCTCTGCACAAAGGTCCTAACTCCTAGAGTAGAAGTGATTCCAAACTCACTAGGCCCACTCGCTCTTGGGGGAGTCCAGAGAGACTTCCATTAGGTCTCTCTGGGGGTTCCTGTACACATACATAGTCCTGTCACCTCCCTAGTTGCAAAGACTCTGGAAACCTGTGTAGGATAGAGTGGAGGAGCAGTGGGTCCTTGGAAATGTTCCAGCGCTCCAAGCCGTGCTGGCTGTGCCTGGAGCTGGCTTGGGAAACCTGGAGCCAGGCCAGAGGACCCTCCTCCAGAAGGCACCCCTTTACCTGAGCTGGAGCCGCTGGTTTTCTGCTTTGTGTTCTGCCGAGACTCCTTCATCCAGGGGAAGATCTGTTTGGCCACGGTGGGCGAGTTGAGTAGGGGGCTCTTGGCCGCACTGGCAGGGGTGGGGTTGCTGCTGGCATTCTGAGGTGGGGAGACTGAAGATGGGGCTGGGGGCGCGGCAGGAGCTGGCGCAGGGGGCTGCTGAGGTGGTTGAGGCTGCTGAGGGGCAGGGGGCGCAGCCTGGGGCGGTGGCGGGGCCAGGGGTGACTCGCCCAGGCCTGGGGGCTGGCTGGGCGGCCCGCTCAAGGTGTGCAGACATGCCTCACTCAGCTCGTGCGCCTTGGGGTGGCCCCCAGCGCTGGCGGGTGATTGGAGTGAACAGGCGGGTCGGTGGTACTCGCCCTCCGCGCCCAGAGCTGCGGACGCCGAGTATGGCTGCTGGCTGGCATTATAAGCGAACCCGTTGGCTGCCTGGTAGGGGTAGCCACCGTAGAGCGCGGAGCTGTCGTAGTAGGTCGCTTTTTGCATCGCGTTGTTTCACGATCTTGATCACACACTCTGACAGGGGCTTGACTCCCGTGAGGGCGCACATTGGCACGCCCCCGCGGTCACGTGACGCTCCGCCGCCAATGGCTGCCCCGCGCAGACCTGGGGGGGTGAGAATCGCGCGGTGAGGGCTCCGCGCAAATCCATCTTACTCTCAATAGCTAAGTGACATGAAAGCCATAAAAGAAAAAGTGGTCAGCAATATTTAGCTGCACGACTTGGCCCCGGGCGCAGAGAGTCGCGCTATAAAAAGCCGCTGGAATTTACTGGCGGCTACAAATATTTGCTTAACTTGCGTCTGGAGTTGGGGGGTTTTCCGGGGAGAGAGGAGGAGAGTGAGTGAGGGCTGGGAGCTGGAGTCCAAAAGAAGAAAGGCCTGATGGGTTAGAAAGGGACGGGGTTGGGATCCTTCTTTTCCAAGGAAGAAGAAATTCAGGGTGTCCCCTCCTCTGTGCTCCGGCACCTCCTCCAGCGAGCCCCAGGTTCCCCTCCCTCTGGAAATTTTGGAGAAGGGGCAAGGAGGCAAAGGGGAGTCACCATTTTTTTTTTTCTCCAATTCTCGCATTACCACTTCTATTTGCCAAAAGAGCCCTGACAGGGAGTGATGTCCCATCCACCCCCATTTTGGATGTTCCAGAACCAAAGAGAGGTATGCACAAAAAATGTTCAGGTAATTGCCCTACTCGACCCTACTGAATTTCAGAAGCTGAGATTGTTAGGCAGTTATTCTCCCTTGTGCAGGGATATGGCCCACCTCCAAATGAGCCCCTGTGGCTGAGAAGGGGAGAGAGAAAACTTTAGATGGGATATCCTGTGTGAGGAGGGACCACCACCAACACCCACTCCAGCAAATCAAACTCAGATCCTGGACAGTTTTACTCCTCTCCTCTTCCTATTTCTCAGGCATGTCCCAGCAAGCCACTCCCACCTCTTCTCCGCTGCTGAGAAAGGTCCCCAGACCCTCCTGCCTTGGGTTTTCTGAGGTGCTGTTATTCAAGCAACTATCAAATTCTACCTGTTAAAACATGATGGATTAGAGAAAAAAACAACCCACCAGGAACCTGAAAAACCAGCGTTCATCTCCATGACCACGGCTTGAACTCTCCTTCCAACTTAACGATAATAGGTTCTGTCTCAGAAACTGCTATGTAATTTGATGTATGGGGGTCATTTGGCTCTGGACGAGGGATGGGAGCACAAGCCATAAAATCCTGCCAGAGTTCCCTGATCTTTGTGTGCTGTTGTTGTTGATATTTGTTACTTGGCCTATTTACCTGCTTCAGAAACACCAAGTGAAGGGCAACCCTGGAAATCTAAAAAGTAATGGAAAGCCCTCTCAAGCCTTTTTTTGTTTTGTGTTTTAGAAAGCAGTTTGCAGAAGTGAAATCTGTCCCCCACCCCCACCCCCTCCCCCCCAACTCAACCTTTGCATGGTCAACCTCTGGTTCTGCTCAGAAAAGTTCCATGTGAGTTCACATATTCACAGTCACACTCTGACACACTCAGAATGTTAGCATCTGACCATTTAAAGAAAATTACAATGACAAATTCATGAAGAAAATGGTTTACACTTCACACCCCCAACTCTGTGTATTTGAGTCCTGAAGTTATTCAAGTTTTCCAGGAATAGCAGGCACTTTGTTAACCAAAAAAAAATAATGTAATAAGCATCTACTAGTGATGATTACACTGTAATTTTGTCTTCAATAACGAACTCCTTTGAATTTCATTATTAAACCAACAATCTGACCAACATCTGGAAAACAAGCACAATTAATTTTCCAGATCCTCAATTAAAAATTACAGCATCCCTTATCCAGAGCCATTGTGCATGATCTTGAGCCCTGGAGTATTGTTTCTCTTTTGGAGATAGAAAGCTACAGATACCAAAATCAAAAGTAAATAAATGATCAAATAAAATTTAAAACTGAATAGCCCTTTAACGTCTGTTTCCTGTTCTTTCACTGAAAACAGTTCCTATTACATTTGGCAGTGTTAATGTCTGCCATCATAAATTTTTAAGATACTAGGCTTGTGTAAAATAAAACGTCAGGTTAAGAAAATTACTCCAGACACTTGAACAGCAAGATATTAGATAAAACAAAATTAAGTTGATTTTGAATGTGCACTATTTCAAGTGAATTGCTAACCCATTATCATAAGCTACACCGGCCTGCTGTTTACTAAGTCTTTTTGTCAAGTTGTAAAATAACAAAAATACCTTTTAAAATCAAAGAGCAAACAACCCACATAAACTTAAAATATGAATTCACCTCCCAGACCCCACTAAAGCGCTTCCTATTGTTTAAGGTCAGCAGATAACCAGCTAGGGCCCACACAGTCCACCACCCCCAACCCAGCCCCCAAAGTTTACAACCTAGTAAAGAAGTTGGAGATTTGCCAGCCAGGAAACTTTGCTTTGCACCCCCAAACAAGGGCTGGGGAAGGAGCAGATTCCTCCGAGAAGATCTGTCTCAGTAACCCCCAGGTGCGAGAGCTGAGAGTTGAAGAGGCTGAGTTGAGTGCGGGAAGCAAGCCCCATTGTCTCTCCGGAAGATCTGCCCAAATTTCAACCTCTTGCCTTCAGCCACCGCTCTCTCTTTCCACTCCCGCCCCTTCCTTAGCCTGCCCTCACCCCGAGTGTAACTGGGAACGCGGGTACGAGCCCCCAGCGCCCCTTGTCCACCCCTCCCTCCCTTCCCAGCCCCGGAAAGTTGCGGCTGGGCTAGGGGAGCGGGCAGAGGTGGGGGCGGGGACGGGAACGCGGCCTGAACTCGAAGTGTAAGGGTATCAGTCACTGCCGGGAAGGAAGCTCGGGCTTGTGAACTCTTCTTGAACCGAGATCTAAGTCTGCGGCCATAAATCACCGCGACGTACACTCCGCCATTCAGCGCCGAGAGCGCCGGCGGCGGCCCCGCTTACCTTAACTTCTGACGAGCGCCGCGAGCGCAGGCTGGGCTCGGGCTCCGGCCCCGGCCCGGCTCGGCGGCCCGGCCGGGTCCCCTCGGCGCGGGATGGGCACCGAGCCTCGGCATCAGCCGAGACGGCGGGCGGGAGGGAGACCCCGAGGCCCAGGCGCCCAGGCGCAGAGCGTGGCCGCCTCGCTGCTCCGGCACCGCTCGCCCAGGGCGGACTGGGGCGGCTTGGACCCCCCCTCCCACCCACCCCACCCACCCTCCCCTCCCCCACACCCCCGCCCCCTGCCCTTCCCGAGGGCAGCAGCCGTGGCCCGGAGATAAGCGCTAGCCGCGCGGGGCTCCGCCTGGGCTAGTGGCACCGACTTGGGTATGTTTCTTATGAATATTACACGCGGAGCAGCGGCTGGTAGGGGGTGCGGGGGGTGGGGGGGTTGGGGCGGGCGGGAGGGGAGACCGAGGCGGCTGGGGCTGGGGCTGGCGGGCCCGCGTGGGGGATGGGGCTGAGCGAGGGGAGGGCCGGGAGCGAGGTGGGGAGCTCAGCGGCGGCGGGAGGAGGGCAGCCTCCCCCCGAAACCCCACGCCCTCCCTCTCCTCGCTCCTGGGCGTCACTAAAGTCCAGGAAAATTATGCTAATGAGGACAACGGGCTCTCACAAAGGGGTCTCTCGCCGGGTTCTATTTCTTAGGAAGCCGTTTGAGAAACCGTGTCACCCTCTGCCCCAGACACTTCCAGTTGAGGGGCGAGGAGAACAAGAACCAGAGAGAGTCCCCCAGACTTCGGGCGGTTGCCCTCACCTGCCACCCCTAATCCAAGAACCACAAAGCCAATCTCTGGGGGGCTCGGCTAGGGCCTCCTTTCTCGAGAGACCTCCCCACGAGCCTACAGGGCTGCCCGTGGTTATGTTTCTAGGCAGAAACACGGAAATCCTGGCAGCCGGGAGCGAAGGAGCCGGGAGATGCACGGTGGGGGGCGGGGAAATGGGCAGCCCCAGGCTCAGGTACGCACAAGGTTCCAGAAACCTGGGCCTCCGGCCCTTGTGTGCGGGGGTCACAGGACAAACATGCAGGTCACTCACAGGGAAGGACTGATAAAGCTCTGACCCCAACAGCCACCGACATCCACGGTACCACCCCCACCCTAGTCAGTGGCACACAGGGAAGCTGAGCTGAGGAAAGGCCTGAATGTGCCCGCGATATTTCCACAACTTTAAGGAGGATAGTCTCCCTCCCTCCCATTCCTCGCTCAACTCCCCAGATTCAGAAGTGAACCCTGCAAGGGTATGTGTGTGACAAAACGGGAGAAATGGAGCTTTCGTGCAATTCTAAGGTGTCAACGGCCGGTCCTTCTCAAAGGAAGGTGTTAAAAATATAAGTAGTATGTTTAAACTGTCAGGGAGCCAAAGTGTCACCTTAGAGCAAAAACAAAGCCAAGGGAGAAGGGAGAAATCAAAAAGCACTCCGGGCCAGGGTGGCCTCATGCATACCAATGGTTTTTGTCATTTATGGCTGGGCAAGATTTATGACTCGGCGCCCCAAAGCTGTAAACAGAGCACAAAACAGCAAACACTTGCTCCTTATGGCATATTGCAGCAGCTCAACTTGAAAGGGGGAGCCGGGCCGCGTAGGAGGCGAGAGCCGGCCACAGAAATCCGCTCGGCGGCATTTTCTCTTCAAACTGTCCAGGTCCGATGTGGCATTTGAAGAAAGAAGGCGTGGGTCAATAATCAACCCGCACTTTCTCCTCCAAACTGCTGACGCGACTCTCATGCTTCTCAACTCAGCCAGCTGCCTGCAGGGACGGCCAGATCTCTGTGAGACCTGCCAGGGAAGGGATGGCCCGGCCGCGGGATCGAGGGCACCGAGGTGAGGGCTGGAGCGCCCGGGGCGCACACCTTTCCACCAGCGCCAACACTGTGCTGGGCAAAATGCGGGGCTGGACCCGCCAAGCTGGGGAGCCGGGCAGCCGGGCAGCCAGGGAGAGCTGGGACAGGAACGGGGCCCGGGTGGCTTCTGGGCGCGGGCTGCCGCGGGCAGAAGCGGGGTTCGGACCTCAAGGCTGGAGTCTGGCGCCTTGGGTTCAGGCCTCTCTGCTGAAATCCAAAGTGTTGGTTTTTGAAACAAGGCAGGTGAGGTGATTAAAAGATACTAATTTATAACAGCTAAAGGTCATTTTTTGTTTATTTTT